CAGGCAGGATGGGGAGCTGGAATCAGCTCTTCTTGCAGTGGCCATGAATGGCAGGGATCCAAGCAGGGTTTTTTGGGAAATTGTTTTCTTTCGCTGCAGGTCTGCAGGATTCGGGGTCCGTACCCACTGCAGCGAGGACATCCGGAGAGGGCCCCGTGTCCTGCTGCTGCTGCTCCCTCTTGTCCGCACGGTGCTGCCGCAGGAACCGCGAAAGCGTCAAGCCAAAATAAGCTCCGAAGGTGTGGACGGTCAAGGAGCCCCCGCTATCCCTCACCTGGTGATCCAGAAAACACCACGTTGGGAATTCTATATCAAGACGAGCCACGTCTTGATATAAAAGGGCTAATAGAGACCCAGGGTCACCTCCTTTCAGGTGGCCCTGGGGACAAAGACGTACCCCCAACACGTGGAGCAGGATGTATTCGTTGGCGCTGAACACGGGGACTTCCAGCAGTGGCAGCAGCAGCATCTGGAGGGGGTTTCCCCAGCCCAGAACAGCTCCCACGGAGACCAGGACGGCTCCGGCACAGAAGTCGGCACCGACCATGCTGGGAAGGGGATGGATGGAGGAAGGAGTATGGGGTGGAAGCCGGAGCGGCCAGAGGGATAGCACGAGTATTTGTCCCTGTGATCCCCTTCCAGGTTAAAACAGAGGGGAAAATGAGTGTGCAAAGCCTGGATCTCAGGTCAGCTCTCCATTCCCATACCTCTGCGCTTCCATGTAAATCTTGCCATTCTGGAAGGAATAGATGAACCCCTGGATGAACAGGGCCCACTGGATGGCAAAGGTGGTGACGAGCAAGCAGGCGGCCACGCTCCCCATGCTGTAGCGGCCGAGGAAGACCATGAGGAAGCCGAAGCCCATGAGGGTTTGGAGACAGACATTCCGGGAACCTGGAGCAGGAGAGGCAGCACGGAGAGGCTGGAAGGCTTCAGGTCTCTTCAGGTGGCAGAGCAAGCCGGGCTGGGAGCTGCTGTCCCCATGAGTCACCTCTTGGGGTGGGGTGACATGAGCTGGGGAAACCGGGAGAACCTGCCTGTTCGGCAGCTCCGGGCGCAGTGGGATTTTGCAGCAGGACTTGTGGGATTTTCCACGACTCCATGGGGAATTTGTCGGCCTCCCAAGCAGCAGGAGCAGCTGCTGGGCTTTGCAGAGGGTCTGCAAGGACTTGCCGGGTTTGTCACCTCGCTGGGTGACTTTTACTATATTCTGGACCCCAGAGGTCCCATATTCCGGACCCTGGAGGTCCCATATTCCAGGGGCGCGTTTGTCCAGGGAAGAAGAGGAATTGCACCCAGGCCTCGGTGGGACGCACAAGCACCCGGTCCCGTTCAATGATTTGCTCCCCGCAAAATTCCTCCTGCTTTTTGCTCACCAGCTCGGGAGCCGGCATGGGATGGGGATACTCACGCGGGTAGTACGATCCCGATCCGGGGTTTCTCCTGCTGCTGCAGTTGAGCTGCGGGGAGCGGAGGCCAGGGCTGGCGTCCGGGCTGTACCGGACGAAGACCGCGAAGAGGATGATGAGGAGCATCTGGAGGAGGAAGCACAGCCCGGAGACCTTGAGCCTCGAGGAGGCAGCGTGCACCGACATGGCGAATCCCGCGGTGCTCCC